CCGGCTGGCTGGCTGGCTGCCCGCCCGCCGCGGCTGCCGGGGCTGGGAGTGAGCCGCTGGGCGCCTCCCGCAGCGCCCCGCGTTGACCGGGGACGGGGGGAACTCGGCACGGCCGGGGGGACTGAACGGGACGACGCGGGTGTTGCTTCGGCCTTCCTCTTGGCTTTTTGGGAGTGGTGTAGGGGCTCGAACCCAAGGCCTTCGCCCTGAGCTACGTCCTCGGCGCCTTTTTGTTTTAACACAGGATCTCGCGAGCTTCCCCAGGCACGGTGTGAACTTCTGATCCTCCTGCCTCAGCCTACCCCCAGAGTGCTGGTATGATAGGTGTGCACCCCCATATTCGGTTTACCTTTTCACTTTTCAAACATTCTAACGGTGTTTGAGAATTCCTCAGATGTACTGTCCCGCCAGATGTGTTTCTACTTTCTCATGCCTGGACTGTCAAGGGTTTTGTTACATTATCTTTTAAAAGTAGCAAGAGTTTATTTGGTGAGGAGCTGCAAAGGAAGGCCACGTGGGCTTAGTTTACCTGCGGTTTGCAAAGTAACTCAGCTGGCTGCTGCTGCTACATTGTAACGGGGGAGCCTGCTACCCTAAGGGTGGAGCCTAGGCGCTGGCAGTCTTTGAGACCACGCTGAGAGTGTATTTCCACGGAGCCCATGAGGATAAACGAATCTGTATTGCGCACTGCTTTCTGCGGACTCAGATAAGTAATCTTTCTGTCCCCAACTTGACCTGGGTGACTGATGCAGTAAAGATTTGCAGTCCTCCTGTAACTTACTAAAGGGTTGTGCCTAAGAGAATCCAAGTTAGTAATCCTGGGCGCTTTCTTTTGACTCAATATTTTCATTGCTTCCGCGGATGGGGAGAAAAAAAATCTTCCTGGGCTTGGTTGTCATACAAATGATGACTTTAAGTAGATGTCCAGCTACTGATCACTTCGGACTCCTTGCCTGTCCTCCAGTGTAAACCGTGGGCATCACTGGGAGCGTGAGGACTGCTAAATGTCCGGGAGGACGAGCCGGGGGGCCTGGAGAAACCGCAGCTGAGAGGCCTTTGGGTTCCAGAGTGACGAGGCACAACTGGGAGAGGACCACCGCTGCGGTGGGTGAGGCATAGCTGCTGTCCAGGGAGCCTGGAGATGCGCCTTTGGGTCCAGACCTCACCTACGAAGACTTGTGCAGAAATTAGCCTCTGAGAGCCGGGAGAAAACGGCAGAATCATTTTGAAGTAAGAACATGGCCAAAGTTGTATTTTTTGAACCTTCACTGTTATGTAAAATTCCAAGGCAAGGAAAGGAGTCTGGAGAAGAGAGGAATCAGTGCAGGCGCGGGCTCCCAGGATAAAGAGCACTGGGAGGGAGATGTCTGAGGTGGCCCCTGCATTGTCGGAGGACAAGATCTCCACTGAGGTCTTAAGGCAGAGACACCACCAGGGAAGGACAAAGGCTGCCGTTCTGACCATGCTGAATTTGAATTGCCTGGGAGCCGACCGCCCAGGTGAGTCCGGTCAGCCCCAGGTAATCATGCCTCCACCTGTTGATGGGGAGCACCCAGTCTGGGCTCCATGCTGTTCCTTGTTCTGGAAGAACCACAGCCAGATCGATGGGCTTCCTGTGCCTGCTTCCCATGAGGGCCAGAAAGAAAGCGCATAAAGGACTTGGTGAGAGATGCAAGGTGGCCTTTGGAGACGTACTCTGGGCTGGGACTGGAAAGAGGTTGGGGAAGCAGGGCAAAGGCCTGAGGATGAGAAGTTTGCTGCCTGAGGACAAGTTGGCCAGTGTGGCTGAGGTCTGGAGAGCAAAGGAGAGGATGGAGCTGACTGCAAGCCCAGCAGCTTTGGAGGCTGATGCAGGAGGATGGCAGGTTTGAGCCTGGCTGTAGCAATATAGCAAGACCCTGGTTAAAAATTAAAAAAATACTGCATAGGCAGACGAAGGGACCAGGGTTTGCCCCAGATGTGCGTTCTGGCCCTGCTCCCCCAGGATGCACTGAGATGGCAATGGAGACTGGGCATGGTGTCCCAGGCCTATAATCGCAACACTTGGGGGGCTGAAAACTGATGGATCACTATGAGTCCGATCTGTGTAGCGAGACCCTGTAGATCCTGTAGTAAATGCATTTTTAAAAATTAAAAAGGAGTGGGATGCAGCCCAGTGTAGAGGCCCAGGGTCCATGCTCAGTACCTCAAAGAGTGGAAAAGGAAGAGATGGGAGGAGAGGAGGCCTGCAGCTTTCGCAAATAAGGTGAAGCCACAGAGGGCTTTAAGAGGAGGAGTCACTCAGCTGAGGAGAGTGGCAGTACAGAGAAAAGTGGGTGTGAGGGCAGGAATTGGCAGTGATACCAGCTTTGGGTTCCAGATGTTTGAGCCTGCGTGCACCATAGGAAGATGAGCTGCGGGGGCCAGGGAGGTAGCTCAGTAGAAAAAGTGCTTGCGTGGCAAATGTGAGGGCCTGAGTTCAATCCCCAGTCCCGCAAAAAAAAAAAAAAAAAAAAGCTGCAATACAACTTTAGAGTGGCTACAGTTAAAAAGAAAAGCATGAAATTTTAGAATATCCCAACATTATTTATTTCACATATGATCAGTATAACAAGTTACTCAGCATTTTTCGATGTTTTACATTTCATTTCTCATTACAAAGTGTGTGACATCTGGTGTGTGTTTTCCACCACTTAAAGCTTATCTCAATACTTCACAAAATTTCTGGTTGAAAACTGGTTTCAAGGTACTTAAAAGTTTCGCAAGCTGGGTCTGTGGTATGTGCCTATAATCCCAGCTGTCCAGGAGGCTGAGGCCAGAGAATTGCAAATCCAGGCCTGTGTCAAATGTTTTTTAAAGGGCTACAAATGGACCTCAGGGATAGAGTTCCCATCCTGTGTGAGGTCCTGGGTTCAATCTCCAGTATCAGCAAAGAAAAAAAGTTTTTGTGGTAATAATCATGTGACAGTATTAAATTAAAAAACGATTCAGTTCCTAAATTAGCCACGTTTCAGGTGGAGCTAGTTGCTGCTCTATTGGGAATGAAATCTCTATAGAACAAAACAATAGAAAATCTGACTTCAGCGGTGTCTGGAACCAGGCCAGAAGCCTTGGATGCCACCCAAGCTCAGGGAGTACTACTCTTCTTTAGAAATGGGGTGACCAATAAGTGATCTTGGAGGGGCCCATGCTAAATTATGCTCAAACTGGGCATGGTGGCATACTCCTGCCCTCCCAGCACTCAGGAAGTTGAGGCAGGAAGATCATTTCAAGTTTGAGACCAGCCTGGGCTGCAAAGCGAGACCCTGTCTCAGAAAATAAGAATAATTAAAAAATAAATTATGCTCAAGGCTCAAAAGGCCACTAGGTGGCCATCTGGTGACTCAACTGGGATCAAGTCATGATGTTCGCCCTGCCCTACCCCCACCCCCCTTGCAGGCTCCAAATTGGTGGCGATGCTCCAGGCTGTGCCCAGGAACCGTGGTCCACAGGCCACTGCTGGTCTGTGGACACTTCGCCACCTGACCATGACTCATTCACAGAAGGTGAGGGAGAATGTAGAAACTTCCCGCAATCTAACAAACTGCTTTTTCTTCTTGGATCCAGTACAAATTCTTGGATCCATCTTGCATGTTTCTTTCTCTTTCTCATTTCTTTCTCTAGGAATATCAAAGTACCACCTTTCATGGCTGCTTCAGAGGTGTTAGGAGGAAGGGAATTAGAAGGATGAAATTCCAGACTTTCCTGAAGTTTTTACTCCATAGTGAGAAAGTCGCCGCTCTTTTCTAGAGCTGGTGTCTCGGGTTCAACGATAGCTGCCGTTTGCTTACTGCCTCTGTGTGCAGCCCCTGGGCACAGCCTGTCACATACAGTGTCTCATTTAATCTTCGCAGTTGTATAAAATGAGTATCATTGTCTCCATTTTGCCCACGAGAAAATTGATTAAGTTGCCTCAGGTCACCAAGCCCATTGATTTCGGAGGCAGTCTTGTAGTATAGGTCTCATTCCAAAACAGCATTCCTAGCCACATTTTTTAATGTCATTACATGTTCAGTAGCTTGCAGATTTCCCAGCACAAAGAACAGAGGCTGCCTGAAGTAAACTATGTTTTGCCCCAGGGTCATTGGTAAATTTGGAGCCAGAATAAGAGGAGTAAGAGGTATTCAAACAGCATCAAGCTAGGGGCCTGGGAGATAGCTCAGTAGAATAAGTGCTTGCCTGGCAAGCACAACAGCCTGAGTTCAATCCCTGGTTCTGCAACAAGGGAAAAACAAAAACCCAGCATCAAACAAGCCCATTCTGGTTATAAGTCTCCTATCTAAATGTTTTATATAAACTCCACAGATTTCTAAAAATAACCCAATAGAAGAATGGGTAAGAGGCTTTCATATGTGCGTCACGAAAGGTGTTTGCATCACAGCATGAGGGGCTCAGCTTTTTAGTAGGAGAATGCATATTAAATGCCAGTTAAGGGCTGGGTAAGTAGCTCAACTAAGTAAAGCTCCTGCAAGCAGTCGCAGGGGCTGGGGGTTCAATCCTGGGCCTGCCGTGCTGGCCCCACCCCCAGAGCATGCTGAGGTGGCTATGGAGACTGGGCGTGGTGGCGCAAGCCTGTAATCCCAGCACTTGGGAAGCTGTAAACAGGAGAATCACTATGAGTCCAATCTAGTAGTGAGACCCTGAACAACCTGTAGACACTTCCCTAAAAAGAAAAAAAAAAATCCCAGTTAGACACTCTCACTCCCCCTACTGTAGTTAAAGTGGAAAAACCAGAAAATACCAAATGTTGGCTAAGAGTTCAGGAACTGCAAATGAAATACATACTTTTTTAATTTTTTTCCCATAATTTTATTGAGAAATAGCAATGAGACAGTTTCAAATCAAATTGGTAGGACAGTTCCAATAATTAACACATTGCATACTGCCTCCTTAGTGGTTGTTGTGCAAGATGCAGACATGATATCCTATTTACAAACACTATTAGAACAAATCTCTCTATTCCTTGAATTAAGAGAATGTAGCTATACATTTATCCTAACCATTTTGAATACACAGATACAAAATGGTCATTCATCTGTATCCACCTTTTTTTGTTTAGTTCCATCATTTAAATATTATAGGTGTGTGAACTCAGCAAAATATTCCAAAATAGTCCAGTAGTCAATAATAGTACTGGGTCTTCCACTTGACTGGCAATGTCAGAAGTTGTTGACCTGAGTCCCCTACAGCTCAACATAACACAGATGGGATATATACTGTTAGGACCACTCTGGAAAACTTGAAGTTCAAAAATGGGGCAAGCCCAAACTAGGAATGTAGGCTGAGGTAGTAAAATTGTAAAAAAAAAAAATAAATAATAAGTAACTTTGAGGATCCTGCTTAGGAGGGCAGAAAGATGTGCCTCTCTCGGGTGCTTGGCTGTGTTGTGTTTTCTGATCTGAAGGGGACTTCGTGCATTTATTGAGGCATAGATTGAGGGCAAGGGGGTTGGGTTTTGGATTACATATCATGATTTCAAATGTTTGCTGTAATTTTTCTAATGAGTATGAAAAAATACCTCTCAGGCAGTGCTGGATAGACATTACCAACTATATATTCCCTAACTGAGCCAGTTGCCCTGTGAAGGGATTACAGATGCAGGCAACAAGGTCATTTGCATTTTGCAGGTACCAGTGGTGAAGAAAGAGGAGGAGAAACAGGTGCAAAAGATGCTGCAGAACCCGAGGAGTAGAAGACAGTGTCCCCTGGCTTTAGGCTCTGGCCATGCTCAGCAGTGGCCTGGGCACAGACAAAACAAGCATTCTTTTGTTTCCAGCCCTTGGCAAGCTATTGAAATGATGTCTAATGCAGCAGAAGAGGGAATGGATTTAAAGATGGGTGAGAGACTGAGGCTGGCTCAGAAGCGTTCTTTGCAAGGTATGGTGTCACGAGTCTAATCATAGCCACATCAGAGGCTAAGGCAGGAGGACTGCAAGTGTAAGGCTAACCTGGGCAACTCAGAGAGACCCTGACTCAAAAGTTTTTAAACAAAGAAGACTGGTGACATGCCTAGTGGCCCTACCTGAATTCCATCCCTGGAACTACACAAAGCAAAAAAGGGGCTTTTAAAAGTAATTATGACTCTCTTCCATCCATCTTGTTTGACTATTTTTCTTGTTTGCTTTTCTAGTTTTTTTAACTTCCTGTACATTTAAGAATAAATATTGGTATTTCCCCTACTTACTACACAAAAAGGGCTCTTACCTATTCCTCTATACTTTACACTTAAGATACGTGAACTTGTCTGTGTTAGCACCTAATGGGTGATGTTTCATACCCCTGCACACTTGAGAATGAGCCATTACCCAGCTGAGGGACACTGAGTTTCTAATCTTGTAATCTAGTGCTTGAATGTACATCTTTTTTTGGATTATGTAAACATGTCTCATTTCAGTTCCTGCGGTTGCAAGTGCTCATCAAAAGGGCATATGTTATTTTTAATTTGCTTTCTATGTACTTAATATTTCTCCACAACACTGCTGATGGACTGTCACCAGATTTTCAGCTTCCCCCCCCCCCCCCCCCCAGTACTAGGGATTGAAGCCACTGAGCCTTGAGCTTAGGTCCCTAGCTCTGTGTTATTTCTTGATAAGGTATAGCTGAATTGCCTAGGCTGACCTCAATCTCAGATCTTCCTGCCTCAGGCTCACAGATAGCTAGGATTACAGGAGCACGGTGCATACCTTTTAAGATCACGTCATCCCAAATTCTGCTTAATGCTTTGAGGGCCAATAACAATCATTTCTTTAAACTGAGAAAAAAAAATGGCTCTCAGTTAGAAGGATTTGTTCAGGATTCAGGAATTCTTTGTGACTGCTGCTGCTACCCACCCACAACTAGGTTTTTTTTTTTCACAGCTAGTTTTTAAAAATGAAAAAACAGGAGGGGGGGAATTATGCAATTTAAGTGGCCGGCATACCTGGAAGGGGGCCAGGAATGACTGCAGACAACTCCACCTACACATTCTTTTTTTCTTGGCAAATTTTTAAGCTTAGAATCTGAACAGATCCTTCAGTCTTTGAATTGCCAAGTGTCAACCTGGGGAGGGCAAGATACAGTGAATTTTATAAATATTTCCCTAATGTAATAGGAGCTAAAATTTGGGTTTTGATTAATCTTGTTTGGGCACTGAGAAGGCATGGAGAAGGAAAGGCCATGGGGCTGCAGCTTGGACCTGCCCTGGGGACTAACTGGGCAGAATGAAGAATTTCAGGAAATAATTGTGGAAGTTACATGAAGCAAAAGTAACTTAGGGAGGTTGCTGTGGTGGTGGCAGCCCAGCCAGCGACAGAGGGAACAGAGGATGGCAGGCTTTCTGAAAGGACTGCATGTCTACAACTAGAGCAGTTTTAGTCAATTCCATGCTAACTGTGTGCAAGGCTTCGAACTGACACCCCTCTGTCTACCTGCCCACCCAGGAGTACCCATCAGAACAGAACATTGTGACAGAAAAGACAAATATCCTTCTACACCACCTATATCAGCAATGGGACAAAAAGAATGCTGAAGAGAAGAGGGACCAAGAACAGGTGGAGCAGGAGGGTGAGAGCTCAGCGCCACCATGAGAGGTGGCGTGGATGGACAACCTCACCATGCAAGGGGACACCTAGGCTGCCACCCACCTTCCCCGCTACACCCTCCCACCCATCCACACCATTTCCAACCTCATAGGAGCTATGTATTTATGTTCCTTGCATTTTTGTCTATGCTGTAGTGATTGTCACCCCTCAGTTAAAGAGGACTCAGACCCAGTAGTGAGATGTCTTACATGCTTCCTCAGTAACCTGACCTGTAGCCCCCACCAGGTCCCCAGCCTGGGACCCAGGTTTCTGGTGTTTCCAGCTGGGTCCTGCTGCTGGAGAGAGGGGTGGGGCCAGCCATGGTGCCACAGCCCCAGCTTGGGTTAGTGGTTTTATCCTGGACTTGTGTGTGCTCCATGTCCACCCCAATAATGGATCTTTCCTACTCAAAAAAAAAGACACAAGTGAGGTGTGGCATGCTGGCTGTCACGTGCAATGCCTGACGCATTGCGTAAATCATGGGTTTGTCGAGCATCTTAACTCTGAAGCCCGGCTGCCTGCGTTTGGTCAGGCTGTGTATCTGTTTGCTGTGAGTCCTCGTGGCAAGTCACGGAATCCCCCTGTGGGTCTGATAACTTCTGCCCTCCTTGCAGCTCTGAGAGGATTAAATGAGTAGGCTCCCAAGCAGTGCCTAGAAAAGTCACAGGAGGTAAGGACCCAAGTATTTGGCTTGGTGGAGGTGGGGAGGGTGCTGGGGATCCACTCCAGGCCTTGATTGCTACGCCTGAACTGGCCTAATCTCCTCCCCAGCCTCACGTGAGTAGCAGCACTGTCAGGACAGCTGTGTCGGCAGCAGTGATCTATGCATACAGCTGTGTGCAGCTGCCCACTTCGTAACGCTCGGAGGTGGAGTCTGGAAAGAACACTTCTGCAATCTTGGTCTCTGCCTAACACCCCCTACCAAATACTGGGTGGTCTGTCTCTTAGTTACAGTTAGTTTAAGTGACTTTGATTTTGAGAATGCTGTGATGTCTGTTGACTTAACAGCTAAGGTGTGGAGCAGTGGATGATCTGGGGCTTCAGATCCAAAGAAACGGCCGTGTGGATGTCCAGGATGGTCGGTGGCTTCTGTGTGTCCTTCGGCTGTTTACTCGTTTTTTGGTTTTTGGTTTTCTTTCAAAAAAGGTCTGACTCACCTTTTCCATTTCTCGTACTTTTCCCTTTTTAAGTTTTTGTTTTTATTAAGCCCCCTTCTGGCACTGGGAACAAGAATAAAGCTGGGTGCCCAGATGTGCTGGCTGGAAGTAGTGTCACTCCCTGCCCAAGCTTGGCTCCGCGTTAGCAGCCCTGCTGAGATCCGTGTTGTGTGCCGTGTGCACTGGGGCTAGTGTTGTCATCGAACACAGAGACGTGGCTCTCTCAGGCCCCTGTTTCTGCTTTAGAATATTTCTATTAATGAGTTACTTCAGTTTTATGAATTTTATTATATTAAACAATGAGTTACAGGGAAATATCAACAATAAATTGATTGTATTGATCAATATTTTAATATTTATTGAGTTTATAAAACCATCATGTTGTTTTTTGTTTTTTGGTGTTTTTTTTTTTTTTTGTGGAACCGGGGTTTGAACTCAGGCCCTTGCGCTTGCCAGGCAAGCACTTATTCTACTGAGCTAACTCCCCGGCTCCTAGTTTTTCAACATCGACTAATTTTGATGTACTAAGTCTAAAAAAAATGCCAGTTTTTCTATGAACTACAATGAAAATACCAATAGCACTTTCCAAAAAACAAACTTCAGTGATCACACCTGCAGCAGTGTGCACGCATGACACCAGCGCCTCCTGTAGGCACCTGCTGCCTACACAGCTGGCACGTGTGTTTTGCTTTCCTGTCCTGCCCCTTAGGGCATCGCAGTGTTTTTGCTCTCTTGTCAGAGGTTCTTATTATACGGAGTGTAACAAGAACATAAAATATCAATAAAGTATTAAAGTCTTAGTAGGTGTTGAATGTTTAGAATAAACCTGAGCATTTTCACATCAGCTGTGTACCTGCTTATAGAACCCAAAAGATAACATCATAAATTCCTATATGAACTACAATGAAGATGCCAATAGAATTCTACCACAAAAATAAGCTTTGCTTCAGCTGTCACGCCCAAGGCAGTCTTCACGCGTGACGACTGCAGGCTCCATGCACATGTCTTGCTTATACGGCCAGCACATGTGCATAGCTTTCCTGTGTGGCAATCTTGTCACCTTGCCCTGTTTCGTCAGGAACTTCCTACTGTATTATACAGCAAATGCTTAGGGAAATAAGATATCGATACAGCATGGAATATGGAATGAGTACTTAGAATAGGCATCTGCATTTTCACATCAGCTGTGTACTAAAACCTAAGAGAACATCAGAAATAAATCTCTGTGAGCTACAATGTGAACAAAAGTCTAGCACAGAAACAACTTGCTTCAACTGACCCAAGGCAGTCTTCACATGTGACAATTGTGTTTTCATGTCCTTTTTTTTTTTTTTTTTTTTGGAGACAGTCTCACTATGCAGTTCAGCCTGGCCTTGTGCTCACTTTTGTAGCCCCCAGGTTGGTCTTGAACTCACAGCGATCCTCCTGTCTCAACCTCCCGAGTGCTGGGGTTACAGGCACGCACCATGACACCTGGTTCCATCCCTGTCCTTTCTTGAAGAGCACAGTTGCCATCTTTCCTGTTTTCCTCTCGTTGTCACAGGTCCTCATGATGCTGCACCTGCCTATTCACCTGCCAGCTCACCAGTGTGCTCCATAATTTTTTTATGTTCCCTGGGTAGAAATGGGTGTTTTTGTTCCCTTTGGCTGTCAATGATCTCTTATGAGCTCCAATCCTAATTCTCTTAAGAAAATTGCTCCATGATATTTTGCACTTGTTGTTTTCTTTCTAAGCTATCAAACTATACTACACATTTAGGATTGAGTAAAACACAGCTATTGGCCAATGCTTTGTGTTTCAAGTGACATCATAGTTACTGCATAAATCATTAACATCAACTCCAAACTTTTCCATCTCAGGTTCCATTATTTTTTTTCCACATCAGATGGATAATGTGCCCACGTCATAACAAGGTTTGAGGGAGAACATCTCATCCATGTGGCATGAACACCCAATCATCAGGCTCATGAACTGAAGGATCTCAGCTTCCATTTTATTAAGGTTTCCTTACCAGTATGTCCTTCATGGTGAAATGTTAGCCTCAGTAGTGCCAGTTGGTTTTCCCATAGATGAGGCCAACTTTATATCTTTCTGAAGTCCAAGGACTGTACTATACCATTCTCTGTTTTGAAATTGCAACATTTCATTTCTGCTTTGTTCCTGTGCACAGTACCTGCACTGGTTAACTTGCGCTTTTGTTAGCAAATGTAGCATCAGCTGGAACTTTGTAAACCAGTTGTTGAATCACAGTCTGATTAGTTTGGGCAATGGGAGCAACAAGTCTTCACAACTTCTGTACAAATAACCTGAGTTCCAGGATACATGTCTAAATTGAAAGCATAATAAGTCTGCATCTACAAGGGCATAAATTTTTATGCCATATTTTGACCCATCACTTCCATAAGTCTTTTTGTTTGTTTCTAAAGTGACTTCCATTTATTTTGATACACCTTTTCCCATGATGATTTACAAGATCTTCAAGCCAATATAAATATTTTATAAATATTTGAATGTTTGGGTATACACCTGCACAATACCTCAGCAATATCTTTCAAGAAAAACATTGAAGAGTATTGACTAGACACAATTACTAGGTACAGTGAAAATCTTCTGCAAACATTTCTGAGGTAAGAAGGCACCACATACCTGTTCAACTAGGAAAACCACCTTTACAACACAGGATGATTTCATTTTTACATAGGACCTAAAAGACTTAAGCTGCCAATTAGGTGCTGAATGACAGAGCAACACCCCCAGTTTATGCCATGAATTCATAGGGAATGGGTTCTAACAACTCAGGTTCCTTCCCATTGGTCCTCACAAAGTGTGCTTCTCTGGGAGGGGCAGGCTGGCGCTTCAGTTGAACCCAGCCTTTGTGTATTTTGCAGCATGTTGTAGCATCTCATCTGCTACAGTTTCCAACACTGAATGGCAGTGCTTGCTCTGTCCAATATGTTTCACACCAGCCAAAACCGTAACTATATTTTCAGCTGTAACACTGGATTATTCCATTTGCTTGCATGACCACTGCACAACATTTTGAGTAGTCATATATGTACTCACATTGCTATTTTCTTGTTATCTGAATCAAGGAGGTTTGCATGCCCTGTGTCTGCACTGGTTGATTCTTGCTCCATTTCACTGTCACAGGAACTTTGGTTCATACAGCCAAGGTCAAAGCCATCATTGCTATGAGCTCCCCACACCCTTCTGTTATGAAAGCCTGTATTTTACCATAATGGGTCATCTTCTTCATGCACATGAGTAATCTGATGATTCACTTTGATCTCCAAAACTTGCAAATCAGATTTTTCATGTGTCATTGTACTGATTAGGCTACTTCTACCAGGAAAATTCAAAAGACAATCTTTGTGTGTGTGTGTGTGTGTGTGTGTGTGTGTGTGTGTGTATTTCAGGGAGGGATCCACAGGGTGTTCAGGGTCTCACTACTACATCAGACTCATAGTGATCTGTCTGTTTACAGCCTCCCAAGAGCTGGGATTACAGGCAAGTGCCACCATGCCTAGTCTCATTTGCCATCTCAGCAGGCCTCAGGAGAAAAGAAAATCTTTTAACAAATCCTAGAGTGCTGTGGGTCTGTTGGACCCTCTATGATGCTTAGGTAAATATATGTAAAACCAGTTAGAACATAAAGGTGGATCCAAACCCCATTTTGACACTTTTGCACATGTGCATACCCCTTGCTGTTCATCACACCAATCGGGTAAATACAGGTTGCTTCCTGTATCCCTCAGGGAAAGGTATTAAGACTTTCCTGGCCACTACAATGATAAAGTACAAATTTACAGCAGAAGAGCAAGGGATGGTCTGCTGGATTGGCTGGATCCAGGCTTATGCCCCTCGGGTGCTCTCACTTTTTCATAGCCACTTGAATGGCTGCTTCTGCTCACTTCTTAGTGAACAACTTACTGTGCTGTAGACAGAGTATCTGCATCCTTGAAATTCATACGTTGCCAAATGGTGGGGAAGGGGAGGGGATGCAAGCTGTGTTATCGCGTGACTGGCTCCACACAATGAAAGCAATCATCATTCTGTGCTGCAAATGTGGACTAATAAAAGTTTTAAAACTTAATGTGTCTTTTGTCTCTTGGGTTAAATTTATTCCCAAGGTTTCATTGTCTTGTTTTTGCTTTGGTATCTATAGTAAATGGAATCCTTCTATCCTGCAGCATTTGTCCAGCTGAATTTGTCTATTGGTTTTAATAGTTTTGTTGTTTTGTTTTCTGCTAGAGTCTTTGGGGTTTTCTATAAGATCATGTCATTTGCAAACAGTAACAGCTTGGATTTTTTTTTTTTTTTTTTTTTTTTTTTTTTTTTTTTTTTTTTTGGTCTTTTTGAGACAGGATCTAGCTATGCAGCTCAGGCTGACCTTGAGCTCACGTTGAGGCCCAGGCTGGTCTCCAACTCACAATGATCCTGCCTCAGCTGCCCAGCTGCCCAAGTACTAGGATTGTAGACATGCACCACCATGCATAGCTCAGCTTGACTTCTATTCCAGAAAAATCAGAAGAAAGTGTGCCTCTGTTGCTTCTTTGTCTCTTGCTCTGTCTAGGACTTTCATTCTGTGCAGTGTTAATAGAAGTGGTAAAGGGAGGCATCCTTATCCGGTTCCAGCTTTCCCCTGGAAGTATCACATCAGCTGCTGGCATTGTCTATGTGGCCTTTCTCCCACGGAGACATCCTCCTCCAGCACCTCATTTGTCCAGCATTCTTACTGTGAGGAGATCTTGAGTTTTAGCAGATGCCTCTTTCACAGCTTTTGAAGCGATCACATGGTTTTTCTCCACTGTGTTGACATGATGTAGCATGTTTATTGATTTACATATATTGAACCATCCTTGCTTTCCCGGGAAGATTCCCACTGGTTCAAGGTGAGTTTTAAAAGTAAATTTGGATGATGTTCTCAACTATTTTTAGTTGAGTTTTTGTTTTCAGACTAGATAAATGAATGCTTTATGAACCATGCTTACAATATCGCACCATTCTGAGTTTGTATTCAGAGTGATTCTTGCTGGGAGTGGTGGCACATGTGTGTGGCCCTTGTGCTCAGGAGGCTGAGCACAGAGCATCACTGGGGCCAGTTTCACCTGCATACTATGACCTTGTCTTGAAACAAAGAAATGTGATGACTCTTAGCAATGAATTTTATACCTCACAATGTTTTCTTGTTAAGGTTTGTTTTAGTTTAAAGAACTTCCTTCAGCATTTTTCTTTTTCTTTTTCTTTTTTTGTACATTTATGTCAGTTATTTTTCTTTTTTAAAGTGTAAATCATTAATATCTTATGAAAAGATTAAACCTGTGTATTAATAGCAGACACGCCTTTCGGCCGGAACCGCCATCTTCCAGTAATTTGCCAAAATGACTAACACAAAGGGCAAGGGGAGGGGAACCCGGTATATGTTTTCCGGGCCTTTTAGAAAACATGGGGTTGTTCCTTTGGCTACATACATGCAAATCTACAAAAAGGGTGATATTGTAGACATCAACGGAATGGGAACTGTGCAAAAAGGAATGCCTCACAAATGTTACCATGGCAAAACGGGAAGAGTCTACAAC